GCTTCCATTTCAGTTTTCAATTCTTGAACTGTTTCCATTACCTGTTTGATCGTTTTTTTCTTGGTTTCCCAGGGTATCATGTATGTATTTACATTTCTTCAAACTTTTGGTTATACTTCGCATCCATTTCTATAAGGGCATTTTTCACATGTTGTTTAAGGGACTTTATTGCTTTCATAAAGTCAATTTTTTTCCCACTTCTTATGTGTTAGGGTGTTGAAGTCCTTCTGTTGTAAGATCATTTGGTTCTGGTGTTTTCATGTTGTTTTTCAGATTATTGGGTGAATTCTTTCCTTGGCGCCTGCCCATCTCCTCCTATCGATGCTATCTAATGGGTCTTTTAAAACCGGATCAGGTTTCCTGGCTGGCTAGGGGCTCCTCTTACAAAATGCCCTCGCTCTGTTTCCTGGCTCCTGCCGGGGTCCAAGATCCCTCTCACCCCTCAGAAGGGTCTTCAGGAATAGGACCCAGCTCCTCCTTTGCCAGGGACCTCGCCAACCAAAGGCCTACCTCTTTGATTTAATTGTAGTGGGGCGATCTGCTCTCGGTGTTGCGCGCCAGTCCCTGCCGCCTGCATATGCTGCCACGCCGGTCCCCGCCGCCTGCGGCCTGCTTGTCTGCAGCTGTGCCTGTCCCTGCTGGTCCCTGCCGGCTGTGGAGGCCATCCGCCGTCTGCCTGCGCCGTCCCCAGGTCATCATTTCTTCTGGCCATTCGTGGAGTCCCAAGAATCCATGATCCAATAAGTGCTAAACACCTCCTCTTTACTCAGCGCCAAGTTATAATTACAAAAGGTACACAAACATCAATCTATTCATTATCTTTGAAGATAAGAGAATAAAGATCACACTGGAAGCTCAAAGATAATTTAGTCTTTTGGGTATGCTTATGAGTGGGTTTTGGATCACTTAGTATACAAACTCAAAGGGCTGATGCTACCTGTCTTAGTTAGGCTTTCTATTGCTGTGAAGAGACACCATGGTAACTCTTATAAAGGAAAACATTTAATTGAAGTGGTGGCTTACAGGTTCAGAAGTTTAGTCCATTATCATCCTGGTATGCATGTGGCAGTGAGCAGGCAGACAGGGAAAGGTAGCTGAGAGTCCTACATCTTTCAGGCAACAGGAAGTGGTCTGAGACACTGGGTGTGGCTTGAGCATATATAAGATGTCAAAGCCTGCCTTTAGGGTTACACTTCTTCCAACAAGGTCACACCCACTCCAACAATGCCACACCTTCTAAAAGTGACATTCCCTTCGGGGACATTTTCTTTCAGATCACCCCGCTACCATTTGGAATGTCTGTTGGTGTTTAGAGACAAGTGTCATGGGTTTTAGAAAATCATCAAAAAGGGCTATATCTTCTTTCTTCTACCACACAAGATTAACAAATGACCAGGAAAGATGATCTGGTAACTATACAGGTAATATCAATTTCTCTATACTGACATTTCTCATGGGCAATGGTTGTCCATCACACCAGGTAAAAAGAAGTTAGGTCCAAGATAGAACACATTCGATAGCTTGAGTCATGCCGCTTACAGGTGATGTGGAGACGCTATTAGCAGAAACATTCAAAGCTCACTGTGACAGTTATGGGGGATTGGAGATTATGCCTAGAAGAAAATTGGGAATAGCTGTGTTCTAGCAAGATGACTTTTTTTTTTTTTTTTGTGGCTAAGCATGGTATCAGAATAAACCAGTATATTTCCCTGGCCTTGGGGATCATGTTCTTGTTTTGGCAATGCTCAGGTGAGGTTTGAAAGTGTTTTCATGTTCTGTAACTCAATGACCCAGCCCGTTAGCAAGCCAAGGATTAGCCAGTAATTACATTATTCCCTCCACAAACACACACCTTGGATGTTAAAGGTGCAACTGGATGTCAACCCTTCTTTTTCTGATTTGGTACATCCTGCTTTCTTTAGTAGGAGGGGACCTGTGGGTGGGTTTCTCAGCAGATGAATTTAGAATTTAGTCCAAGTCTGCAGCCATGTGCTGCTGACAAACACGGTTTCTATTTGTAGGGCTTCCCTGGAGTAAGCTCCTGTGCTAGTTTTGGACTTTCTTCAGACTCAGTCCATGATACTGTCTTGACTGCAAAGTTCTCTGGCTTCCTTGCATGGACATTTCAAGGGTAAAATCACACGTGGCTCATTTATGGTGAATTATCACTTCTTTCTACTGGGCATGTGTATACATGTAGTATGTGTATATGTATATATTTGCACATGTATAGGCACATTTGCTCATGGCACATATGTATGTACATGCATGTCAAGGTCCAAAGGTGACATTGAGTATCTTCTGTTATGTTCCTCTTTATTTACTTAGCAGGGCTTCTCACTTTATCTAGAACTCACCAATCCCAGCTACTCTATTTAGTTTGCATGCCCTGGGGATCAGGTCTCTGCCTCTGGAGTGCTGGAATCACAGGTCGCGACCTGCCAGGCTTTTATGTGGGTTTGGGGGATCAGAACTGGGGTCCTCACGCTTTTTTAGTACGGGTTTTAGCCTCTGAATTGTCTCCCAGCTCTGGTCCTCATTATTTTGAGTTACTTTAGGGATTTAACTCTTATTTTTTCTGGATTAGCATTGTCTAATAGAATATAACATGAGCTGCAGAGTAATTGTTTAGTCAGTTTAAAAAGTAAAAACAAGGAAAAACAGTCCTCTCACTTTTGAAATCTAGTCTATCCAAACTATTATAATTACAGAATGTAATCAACATGAATTATTGAGGGTTTTTTTGGTTTTAAACAAAGTGTTTGAAACTAACTGTGTACTTTACAACTACTTCACCTCTTCATTAGCAGTAGCCGCATCTTAGTACCCAATGGCTGGCAGCTACTGGATTGCAGATGCAGGTCTAGAAAAATTCTTCCCATGGGGGGAAAAAAACAGAGAAGCAACAGCTCCCCTCCCCACTCCTGGTCATAAAGAACAAGTCACTCGTTTCAGCATCCATCACTGTCAGCATCACCACACATCAATAGGGATGCGTGTGCATCGTAAGGGTCCTCTTTTAGCAAAAGTACCGTTCTGTGCTCCAGCAGCTTCCAGAACTTGCTAAGTGTTGAACAACACTACATGCACACACTGACATAGATAATGATCTGGACGGCTAAAGGCTTGCATGCTCAGAAAACATGTTTACACTGCCTTCCATAAGCTCAACACACCTTTTATTAAAAGGTTTAAGAAACTTTTTTGCCACATCTACAGGGATGTGCAGACAGAAGAGTCAGTCCTTTTGAGTCCAGAAAACTACAGTATATGCACATAAATGAGGCATGGTCCCTCACTGTAAAGTGTGTCTGGGGAGGGAAGACCATGGATAAAGCAGGTAGGAAGGGTGTGTCTACCATGTAGTGGATATGAAAATGAGACCTGTTCCTTTCAACAAAGTATTCTTTTGGAAACCCATATCACAACTCCATTGAGTCCCAGGAAGATGCTCATGAAGTTAACCCTCTCTGCCATTACCAGTTAGATCATCATGGACCAGTTTGTTGGGATTGCTTGGAAGGTAGAGTCAAAGGTCCTTGGAAAATGGAACCAACTGTTTCTATGGGGGAAAGGAGAAACAACAGATATGAAAAGGCGTGGATTCTTCTGCTGTGGCAAGTTGGGGGTCTTCCTGAGAAGAGAGAAAACCAGCTTGAAACATACTAGATTTCCAAGACCAGCCAGTTGTGTGCCTTTTAGTAAGTAATGCAACCTGCATGTCTTTAGCTTCCCATGGGCTAAAAACAAAGCTTCCTTAATAGGAATTGATGAAATGATACACTTGAAGAGCTTAAAAAAAAACAATGTCTGGGACACAACATGCATCCACGAGATGTCTGTAATTATTAGCTATTTTGTTCTCCTTTGTTCCTAAAGTTTCACAAGGGTTCAGGCAAGACTTGAACCAAGCAATAGGGAAAGACAGCAGGCAAGTACTAACAAACATCTAATCCCTCTCTAGATAGCAAAACTGTGGCAAAGAAGTGACAGCGATTCATTTATTTAGGAGCAGTTCAGGGGCTGCTCCTAAAAAATGTGGGGAGGGTTTTTTTGTTTTTGTTTTTGTTTTTTTTTTAGGAAATGGTAATGGAGGTCCCTAAAAGCAAGTGCTTAGTATAGGTACAGGCTTGGGCTGCAATGGAGACTGAAGTTAACCTGGTTTCTCCTGGTCCGGAGCCATGCACCTGCCATGCAGATAGAACAAACCCAGAGTTGGTAAAACTCAATAACATGACCCGTAGGAAATGCATGCAGGCTGAGCTCAGTAGAAGCATTTGTTAACATTACAAGGATTACTGTTAGTAGCAGGTCTTTAGCGGGAGCAGCTAGACCCTGCTTAGGATGTTATATTTTGGCGCGCTCTCCTACCCTGGCACAGTTCCTGGCCTGGCACCAGATGACACTTGGGTAACGTTTGTGGAATGAATACGTTGTAGACAAAGACAAACTCGCTTCGTTAATCCTTGACCGCAAACACTGTTTTTGTGCCTCGGATTTCTGAAATTCTTGGCTCCAGGACACAGGGCGCGCGGAAGCTTGTAAAAACTTCCCAAAAGAGTAATCCGAGCTCTTCCCCTCTCTCCGGCCCCTAGTGACACCTGGATTTTAGGAAAGGGAAGATATGACAGGCAAAGAGAATGGTTCACAGGGCTAGGAGATACCTCTGGGGTGACTGTGGGTCGCGTTTTCCAAACCTGGCAAGTCGGCTGTTCAGACTCAGTTTCGCCAGCCGGGCGGTCCCGCTGGACGCCCCTCCCCCGTCTCCGCGCGCGCGTCTATTTAGAACCCAGCCCCAGAGTTTAGGGGCTTCTGGGACTTGTAGTCCTTTTCCACAGCCCCAGGCGCCGGCACGACCTGGGACTCGGACTACATTGCCCAGGGAGCTTCCCGGCCTATATAAGCAGCCGGGCGCCGCTTCAAAGTGCAGTAACCATGTGGATGTTCTGCTGAAGCTTTTCCTCAAGCCTGCTGGGGTGGGAGGAGAGGAGGAGGTGGTGGTGGTGGTGGAGGAGGAGGAGGCAGGGGGTGGAGAGAAAGAAAGCGCACGCCGAGAGGAGGTGTGGGTGTTTCTCTCCCATCCTAACAGAACGAGCTCCCTCTTCGCGGATATGGGATTGCCCAGCGGCTGCTAACCCCTCTGCTGGTCCTGCTCCCCCAAACCGGCGTGGCTCCCCGGTCACCAAGGTAGCTGCTGGGGCCGGGCAGAGGGCGAGGGGAGTTGGCACTGGCTCCCGTGCGCAGAAGTTTTTGCCCTGATCTCTGGGAGCTTTTTTTTTTTTGGTGGCTTTGCATGCACTTGGCGTGTATTTTTGGGCTTCTTTCCCTGCGAGCAATTTCGGGAGGAGGTCTGATTTATTTACTTAATTTTTTTAGGTTTAAACAACCCCAAATGTCCTCGACTCTAGTGACCAGCTTCAACCCCCTTCCCTGTACTGAAATGGCATTCCCCCAAGTTGGAAACTCTTGGAGTGGTTGCAGGAAATAGTTTTTTTTTTCTCCTGTTGGGAAGGGGGCAGTTGAGGGGTGTCATATGAGTTTGCTCAAGGAAATAATCTTTCTAAAAATGTAGCTAGTCCTGTTGCGCCGCATGGCTGGTAGAATAATGCATGCGTGGGGGCCCCTGTGTGTGTGTGTCTGGGGGGGGGTGTTAAAAAACGGAAGAAAACCCGGGGACGGGGGGGGGGGGGAGTGGTGAGGGTAGACCCAACTCGTGTCCAATGAGGATGCAGGTTTTGTATACTTGGCCTCCTCCACGCGGGGAAACAAGTGCTTTGGGATCTCCTCAACACTTACCTTAGTTCCACCTCCGGCATATTCGAAGTTTCTGCGTGCCTGATCTTTCTGGTCAGCTACGTACTGGAAATAACCAAGCTGGGTTTGCTGTTATCTGAGGGCAAGAGATCCCGCCAATTTGGCTGCTAAATTGGGAGATGAGGAGTGGGGATCTGCAGGAAACGGAGGCAAAAAGGTCGAAACTCGGATTTGGGAACATTTCTTATAGACCCTTGCGGGGTTTCCTACTCAGTCTTCTTTCTTTGTAAATATTTAGGAGCTGACTGCAAGGGAGCAGGATTCGCATCCTTGGCTGGGCGAGCTTTGACTACAGAGTGCCTGACCTGGGTCAGGTGAGTGTGGAAGTCGAGTCAATAAGTCAATAGGGGGATTTGTCCTAAGCCTTTCCGCAAGTCCTCTTGTAGCAGCCATAGAGAAGCGGAGAGAAAGAAACTGTGGTCAAAATTGGTCATGATCTTTGCCGAGTAAAGATCCAGTGCCAACCACTTTTGAAGGTGGCTCAGAATTGAAGCTGCCTGATGTTTGGGGAAGGGGGGGGGGCACCAAACGACAACAAAATGCAGTAACATGGGTCTATGGGAGAGGCATGCTGATTATTTAAATTCCAAACGATGCAGAACTTTTCCTCTGCCGAGGTCTTTAAGCAAAAGTGAAATACTCCTCCCCTTCGCACATTGCCACTTTGTTCTTTTTTGTTGTGGACGCGCACGTAATCAGGGGGCTGGGCTGTAAGAAATGAAAGTGGCGAATTGAAAGACTGAGAACTTCATAAACGGGAAGTTAGAGTTTGAAAGAATAACACAATAGCTTCCAGGATTTGACTGGAGCCACCTGAACGTCAAGGAACCCAGACCGCTTCTCTTGTTTTGATATGTGTTCTTGGAAGCGGAGCTGAGGGCAGCATTTCTCTGTCAATACAATGGCTCCTATTTTTATTTATTTATTTATTTTTGCCCTAAAATGGTCCCACTCCATTTCTAGAAAGTATAGCCTCTGTAGGGGCACACACACCCTCATAGTTGCAGGGTTTTTTTTTTCTTGTGAAATTTTTGTGAACCTAGTAAACAACAGGTTAATAGGGGCTGGGAGCTGTGGGCAGCTGGTTCTTGGTAACTTTTTTAACGTCCTAAATATTTAGCTGTTCCCTGGGCTACAATCTTTGGGCTTTTCTAATTAGGGAATAAAAGCCAGATACTTCATTATGGTAGTATAATGCTTTTGTTTCCTGCTGATAAGATCCTCAGGAGTACTGGTGGAGCGGGCAGCTTTCGGATGGGAAGGTTGGTTCTTCTATGGTCTAATGTTGACCAAAGATTGGGGCAGTCCACTCTTCAGAGTATATTGCAGACAAGGGACAACTGGTCCTCAGAGTCTTCTCTACCTGATGCCTAAAAATTATGAGACTGCCTTGTTAGATGTACTAAGCCAGGTTTAGAGCTGTGGCTCACAGAAGGCCTTAGATACGGGTAAAGAAACCGAGATGCAGCCCAGACAGTCATGTATACTGCTTGTGCTGAAGTTTGTGCAGTGCTGGGGGAGATCGAGACCCTAGGGAAAATAGTGAACACATTGCTCTTAATGTAAGAGTTCTTAGTTAGGTCCCACCAATGATAGACTGACCATACCCTGATGTATGAAGGAACTGATATCATAAAAGAATGTAGATATTTGTAGAAGGATTTAATGTTGGGCCGAATTAATTTTGGAAAGCGTTATGCTGAAAGCTTGAGTCAGGATAGTGGAGAAGGAAAACGAAACAAACCCCAGTGTCCATGTGCAGCATGAGGCCTTTCTCTTGCTTGAAGTATATCTTGACCGTTCACATCAAGGCATCTGAGCAGGCTGAAAGAGTCAGGTGTGTCTCTGCCTGAATAATTGGAGACCTTAAACTGCTTCAGTTCAATCTGTGGAATGCTGGTAACTTGGCCGGTAGCCTCCGATTTGCCTGATAGCAATGTTTTTCTTCTTCATTATTTCATTTCTTTCTTTTTTTTAAAAAAAAATTATTTCTTCATTTCTATCAGTTGTGTTGATGTGTTCTTGTGAGCGTGTACATTGAAAATACAATCTGCTCTGACTAAATCAAATCGGAACAGAAAATCCCATCAAGATTTCCTTCTAAAGCAAGCAGGGAAAGTTCTTGATGTTCCAAATGAATCACTCTGGTCTCTCCACGAAAGTCATTTGGGTGTTATCATCCATTCAGACAATGTGGTTCCTGTTGCCAGCCTTCTTTGAAGAATATGAGATGCAGTGGTTACTTAGAAGAGCAGTAGATAAACGTCACAGAAAAGATCTGTTGACTTTGCCCTCAAAGTGTTTTTAGCTGCAAGAATATGACTACAGAGGTGGGGGTGGTAGTGGGATACTCTGGGACTAATTCAATGTTGTGCAAGGAACTGACTTGAAAAATCCACGTGGCTTTTTAGCTAATAATGATCTCATGGAATTTCTGTCTGACTTTTTTTTTGTTAAATATAAGCAGCTCTTTAAAAACAAACCAAACGAAAAAACAGATACCAAATATGAACAACAGAAAAAAATCCACCAAAGTAAAAGCAGGCCTGGAGTTAGGTTTCTAGGTCAAGCTGTCCTTGGATACTTCTAATTAAGGAAACTACACAAGGACAGTGCCCTGTCTTGTCTGCTATTGGTTTGGTTTTTTAAAATAAAATGCATTGGATCTGCAGATTGCTGGTAACTAGAACTGCATGCCGTTGTGTTAGGTCATTTTCAGCTGTTGAAGTTTGATGAATGAAGGCCTGAAGTCAACGGTATGAATGACTTTACTTTTCTGACTCTTTCTAGTTGTCACGGTGTCTGTGGTTCTGAGGTGATTGCTAATGAGGAATGAGCTGAATGAACTCCTGAAGCCATCACCTGTTAAACCCTGTGATTTCCTAGACTGGACATAGTTAGAGGCAGCTGGTGGGACACATGTACCTAACAGACTGTCACCCTGTGAAAAAGTGTTATGATTCAAGTGTGCTATGTTGCTTATTCAGCAGATTTCTTGAGTACCTGCTAGGTGCCAACTGTGTTCTAGGTGCTTAGGGTACAGCATAAGCAATCAAGTCTGTTCCTCAGAGGTTGTTGCTTGGTCTCTCTCTCTCTCTCTCTCTCTCTCTCTCTCTCTCTGTGTGTGTGTGTGTGTGTGTGTGTGTATATACATGTGAAGGCCAGAGGTAGATGTTGGTTGTCTTTCTCAATTGCTGGTGGGAGGCAGTCACTGTAAATAAAAAGTAGGTGTTACAGTATGGCAGGTGCTAAGTGCTCTGGGGAAAAATCAAGCAAGGAGAGGATGAACAGAGAACAAGTGTGGGCCAGATTCGGAGACATTGAAACCCTTGTGTATCGTTGGTGGGAATGCAAGAGGTAGTGCTTAGCAGAACAGAATGGTTGCTCCTGAAAATATGAAACAGAGTTATCATAAGATTTGAAATTTCCATTTTTAGGTATCTAAATAATTCAAAGCAATGACTTATGCAGTTTGTTTTATGCTGAAAGTTGCCTCACTCATGTTAGCCAATAGGCTGAAACAAAACCCTCGAAGTATCTATTAATACATGAATAAAAAACAAAGTGCTGCTTATGTGTTCAGTGAGCTATTATTCAGCCCAGAAGAGGAAGAAACTCTTTTCACGGTATAGTCAAACCACAAAACACTATGCTAACTGAAAGAAGCCAGCCATCAGTAGACATACAGTGTATGATTCTCATAGTAGGAAGTCCGGTATGTGTAGTCAGATATTAGGGTCCGAATGTAGATTGGTAATATCTAGGGGCTAAAGAAAGGGGAAGTTGGATTAATGAACACAGACTTTCTCTTTGTAAAAATTAAAAAGTTCTGGCAATGGATAATACTGGTAAATTTTATTTCTGTATTATCCAAATAAGAAATAAAAAGCAAAAGTTCAAGGGGTGTGAAGGGTGTGTTGTGGTTGGCAGTTAAGGCAGGGGTCTTCACTGTGTGGCATTTGAGCAGAGCTCCTCAAGTCCAGAATAGAAAATGTGAAGGCCCTGAGGTGGAAGGAGGTGGGGCATGCTGGAGGCAGGACAAGGAGGCTGGAGAGGCTGCAGGTAGGAGCAGAGGAGGTACTCGGGTGGGAGGGCAGTCAGGGTCCAGTGGTGGAGAGGCTGCAGGTAGGAGTAGGGGAGGACTTCGGATGAGAGGGCGGTCAGGGTCCAGTGGTGGAGAGGCTGGAGGTAGGAGCAGGTAGGACCTCGGGTGGGAGGGCAGTCAGGGTCCAGTGGTGGAGAGGCTGCAGGTAGGAGTAGGGGAGGACCTCAGGTGGGAGGGCGGTCAGGGTCCAGTGGTGGAGAGGCTGCAGGTAGGAGCAGGTAGGACCTCGGGTGGGAGGGCGGTCAGGGTCCAGTGGTGGAGTGGCTGCAGGTAGGAGCAGGTAGGACCTCAGGTGGAAGGGCGGTCAGGGTCCAATGGTGGAGCCAGATTTTGCACACCAGCAGTTCTGAGGATTTCTGAACCCTGACAGGGTCCCCAGTGGGGTTTTCAGCCTTGCTGAGCTCAACTGTGCTTTCTAATGAGACTGGCCGGGCTGGCAAGACCACATACCAGATGGAAACTTGATCCAGGAGGCATGAGGGAAACCTAGATTTCCAGACTGGTTTGTCATGTGACATTTCCTGGCATTGAGGTTCACTTAAGGAACAAAGGCATCTCCTTCGCTGAAGAGTAGAGCCATCTTTGTTCTGTTCAGCAAATTCTAAGAAGCATCGGTTGGTCCTGGGCTTTCACCAGCCTTCTGCCCCGTCACCACCTTGCTAGACATCAGATTTTACTGAGGGGGAATGACCTGGCCCTAGGCACTATGTTTTCATCATCTTGGGCGTGAGACGCTCCATATTAGTGATTCTTCTTGAAAACTTGGGGGAGAGGCCTTCATGGGGGCATTGCTAAAGTCCCTGATTGTAGTACTGCAAAGGTTCCATGTTCATCATCAAATGCTAGGAAGCAGTAGGCAAGTCACACAGCAAAAGGATAAATCTGTCTCAGCCACCCCAGAGTCAGACCCCAAGCTTTTCGCCACATGTAAAAATTAGCTGTGTATTTAAGACTCACAGTTGCACCCCTTCCATTTGCTGGCTTTTCTTTGGTACGCAGACAGTTGAGTCTCTTGTTAACATGAAGATACCTGCATTTTCCCTTTTCCAAAGGTCTGTCCTGCTGATGGGATTTTATTTCACTAAAAAAAAAAAAAAAAAAGTTTTAATTTTACGTGTGTGAGTGTTTCCCCTGCATTTGCGGAAGTGCACTGCCTGCCTGCCTGGTGACCTTGGAGGCCAGAACAGGCACTGGATACCCTGAACTGGGGTTGCAGATGGACTGTGTGCCAGCGTGCAGGTGCTGGGAACCAAACCACAGTCCTCTGAAAAGGAGCAACCGCTGAGCCATCTCTCCAGCCCCTCATTGGGGTTTTATTTAAGTAATATATATGGAATGAGTACAGTACAAAAATACTACATCCTTCAGAGTTCCTCATTTGTTGCACAATCCAATGTTCTCAATTGGTGTATTTTGACCTTTGAAGAAAATGAAATGATAGTTGAAGCCTTGTTCACTTGAAAGCTATCTTATTACAGAAGAAAAGCCTAGTACTTGCTGTATATAACTATAGCATTTCTCATTTGGTAAACTAACCTTACCCTGTAAAACAGGTACTCTCTCCTGCTTTTTTTTTCTTTTAAATATGGTCCATTCTAGAGATTGACCTAAGTCCTCAAACTTGGAAACTTAAGTGGTTTTTTTTTTGAGCCATCTCTTCAGCCCTGTTTGCTTGTAAGGGGAATTTTTACTATAGATTTCGAGCATAAGCCAACATTATATATTGTGGTACCTGCAAATGCTAGGAAAGTTGCACTAGGTTTGATGGACCTGGAGTTACAAGCCACATTGTGAGCTGCACAGTGTGGGTGCTGAGAACTGAACTGTGAGAGCCGCAAGTGCTCTTAGCCACTGAGTCATCTCTCCAGCCCCAGCAGTAGCTTCTTAATACACGGAACCCACTTGGTTCACCCTACTCTGCATACAGCATCGTTAGCTCATCCCTGATCTTATCCCATTTGCATCCTCACACACTCCCCACCCCTTTAGTCTTTGATTATTTGGAAGCCCATCTTAGACATTCCACTGCATCTGTATTTATCATGAATCCTTAGGGTTTGAATTCTTTATGTAGGTACATAACGAAATACTTAAAAGTCTGCAGCACTGGGTGCTCTTATATGCCCATGTTGCGGGAGGGAGTGCTATTGGCATTCATTGCATAGAAACTGTGGCTGCTAACTCAGCAACCTACAGTCTGTCGTATTTTGGTAGTTAGATACAGAGGCATCGTCCAAGCCAGATTCTTTTTTATTTTTATTTGTTTTTGCTTCAGGGGCACAATGTTTTCATTTTAAAATATGGCTAGTGCCACTGTTGGGCATCCCTGCATTTGGCATCCTTTAAAAGTACCGCCGTGAACTCGCAGACTGGAGCATACTTTGTACGCTTTTCTTCATGGCGTTACTTTTCTTTGTCTTCCTTTCAACCCACTTAGGTTCTTGAAATTTTTAGACTAGGTTACTGTGTAGCCCTGGTTGGCCTCAACTCGGTGATCCTCCTGCCTCAGCCTCCTGAGTGCAGGTATTAGATGTAGTTGTATACCACTCTCCTCAGCCTTGTAGTTATTGATCTCAGCCAGAGAGTTGGCTCCTGAGGCTTTTGACAAAACCATGGAAGTTCTCATAGTTTTCTTCCTTTGTGTGTGACAAGATGTTCCAGGCTTATCTTTTTTATTTCTTGTCCCACACCATGAATCAGCCTTTTCATCAGGAAGCTCTTGTTCTTTTGAGAGGGAAATGAAATGGACACCTTTGCTTAGGACCGCATGAGCATTCTTGTCCTCATCTTGTAGGTGATAAAACCAAATTTAAATGATGAAAACTTAACGCCTGACTCTCTTCCCCTCCCCTCTTCTTTGAAGACAGGATCTTACTATGTAGCTGTGGCTGTTCTAGAACTCAATATATAGATCAGCCTGGCCTCTAACTCACAGAGATTCTCCTGACTCTGCCTCCCAAGAAAGAGCTGGGATTAAATACTTGTGCCACTGCACCTGATTTACCTGAGTGTTTTGTAATAACATTTTGATCAACAGTCCATTTTGATATGTCTGTGCTTATCTCAAAGGAGCCTGGAAATAATCTGAACTTTTTTTTTTAAGTTTATTTATTATGTATACAGTGTTTTGCCTGCAGACCAGAAGAGGGCATCAGATTTCATTACAGATGGTTGTGAGCCACCATGTGGTTGCTGGGAATTGTACTCAGAACCTCTGGAAGAGCAGTCAGTGCTCTTAACCTCTGAGCCATTTCTCCAGCCCCAATAATCTGAACTAAAAAAAAAAAAAAAATTGGTCTGACTTTCAGTGTATTCCTGGATAAGCAAAAAATGCTATTGACACTCCTTAGTGGCACTCCATCTAGAGATAGGGAAGTCAAAATTGTGGATCTTGCTCAACTTTGCAATGCAGTAGGATGAATAGAAGCCATCCACGTGTACTGCAGTGGTGTAGACGGGAGGCATCTTGGGAATAGCTCCTACATGTAAATCCTGAAGCTCACGTGCATTTTCTTCATGTTATACACATCGTCTGATGATACTCTCAGGCAAAACTTCTGTGGTTTGTGCATGGAAATAGTTTTTGGTGTGGATTTTTTTTTTTGTGGTATCATGTCAGCATTCAAGAAGTTATAGAATTTTGAGCAGTTTGAATTTTGTATTGTCCTGGCATAACCTGCACTGAAACTGGGCTGTGGGGATAGCGCAGAGGCATACTATTCTTATTGTGTGTGAAGCAGCTCAGTGCCAAAACAACAACAAAATTAACCCATGTGTTCCTTGCAGCACCTACCCCCCTCCCATATACAGGCAGAGAGAGGGACCATGCAAGAGGACACTGCTGCTAAGTTCAGTATTTCTCTTGCTGTTGGATTCAGTCAGAAGTTTGAGAAATACTGTTTACACTTTTCTGTCCATGTTGTCCAAGGCTCAGCATTGGGTATCACCTGGGAACGTGTTAATTGTCCTCTTGGGTCCTGCCTAGACCTGTATCAGCTGACATTTAGGAAGACCCTCAGGTGATGTGTACCCTTCTATGCTTGAGAAAGTCTGTCCTAAAGGATGCCTGCCCAGTCCTGTTAGCAATGGCTTTTTTATAGTCCCTGTGTTTCATGGCCAGTTCCCACCTGTTGAAGCTCACCTTCGTACATGCCCCTGGCAGCCTTCTCCGTTTCAGGTAAATGGAAAGACAGGCCTGTTCACCAGGCAGAATTCTGACTGAGAGGGAGAGGGAGGAAGAGAGAGAGAGAGAAAGAGAAAGTTTGAGAACACTTTTATGGCCTTGGACCTAGAGGCAGAAAGAGACCACAAGCTACCTGTGCGCCCAGGGGTCGTGTAGTCACATGAAGAAACAAGTGCAGCTGCATTTTAACCTGCTGTCCATAGACACCGGAGGAATTGATGTTTGAGGACCTCTCAACACAGAACATCTGCACTGCTGGGTGTAAAGTTTCTCATCAGAAAAACCTGAGCGAAGGAAAACAACACCAGCCTCCAAGTAATCTAGAGGGTAAGACCATATAATGATAATCATATAAACACATACATATTATTTCTTAACCTGTGATAAAGGCAATGGAGGCAAAACGAAGTACCTGGGATCCAACTAAGAATCATAGTTTAAGATTTCATTGATGTAAACTATCATGAAGAGACCAGGAAGGATGCAATCTCTTACTAGGCGTGGTAGATCAGTAAAAGTTATTCAAGTGAAAGGCTGGTGGAACAGTTTGTGGAGCAAAGGAGCTGGTGTATATGAAACCTCTGAGTCAGACAAGAGCTATTCTCCAGGGAGCTAAGAGAAGACCAGTGGAAACCACAGAAGCAACATGAAGCTAGCAAACAGGAAGAGATCAAAAAGACATAATGATTTATACTAATGATCTTTGGTTTTGTACTAATTATAAGGAAAGGATTAATTGTTTAGTGATGTCTTTCAGCTCACTTCCAACTTGTCTCTGGAAACACTTGGGTCTTATTTTCTCTGGTCTGTGTTAGCTCTCACTGGTCCATCTGCTTAGCTGTACATCTGTTTCCTGGAGCCACCATGACAAAGGAGTTCAAACTGAGCATGTAATGCAACAGAAATCCATGCTCTTATGATATAGAAGCCAGAAGTCTGAGGCACACATTTAGAAACTTGGGGGTTAGATGCTCCATATTTCTCCTAGCTGTTGCTGCTTGCTGGCCATCCCTGGTACTCCCAGCAGATGAACTCCGGTCTCTGATTTCATTATACGCCCTCTCACTATTTGTCTCCGTCTCTTAATCCAAATGCTTCTTTTATAAAACCACCAGTTGTGGGATTATGACCCACCATAGTCCAGCTTAATCTCATTTTACCTTGACTACATTTATTTCCAAATAGATTCTATTTCCAAAAAGTTCACAGTCATGGATACCCAGCATGAGGACTTGAACATGTGTAATTTTAAACATTCAAATCAGGTCATAACAGGGGTGAACTGATACATTCATCTTTGTTTTTTAATATCATATTGAGTATTGGGTGGGAAATGGGTTGGAAAGGCATAAAATCAATTGTGTATTTCATTTTTTGTAATATTGTGTTTTACAATATTGTATGATATTAATGATCGGAAAAGTTCCCAATATATAAAGTAGATATAAATATTGAATAACTACTTGCTAATAATTTAATATGCAGCTGAGATAAAGACAATATAATTGATTATAGTGAGGGAAAAATGTCCACTGTGCAAAAAAGAAAAAAGGAGAGTTAAGCCCAGATTGATAAGTGGTCACTGTAGCTATGTGCTACAATATGACTAGGTGCTAGCTAGCTCTCCATGTCTTTGCTTTCGCTTTTTGACCTATAAGCCCCCAGGACTTCGTTCAAAATTCTATCGCTCTCTATATTTTTTACAGTTGCCTTTACAATTTAAACAGTTAAGGCTTTATTCTTTTTTTAAAAAAAAATCTATTTGTTCCTTCTGAAAAGTTTCTGGAATAAATTCAAGGTGTTTAGTAAATAACCCAGCCATGCAGAGACACACCAACCTGCTCATTGGCTGGGGAAAGCATGTGCATTATCTCCAGGACAACTGAGTAGGAAATTGTCATGCTTCTACACAGACGAACCCACCTGCAAAGCAGAAAAGGCATTCTTTCTGTCACCCGGCCCCTGAAAAGCCTTATTATCCCTAAACCACTGGGACAGCTATTTTCTTGAAAGTCCCAAACATGACTGGAGCAAAGTAGAGAGAGAGAAAAAAATAAAGGAGCCAGGTGCAGTGTGAGTCTAAATACACAGTGGGGGAAATCTCTGTCTGTGCAGCAACTCTGCTGCAATGGCAGAGCATTTGCATAGTGAACAAGGCTTCAGTGTTTTTGGTAAAATTTTAAATTAATATAATTATAATCCTTTTAATATGTACAGATTGATCACACATTCATTTTGTTTTTGCCTGACTCTCTCGCTGCTGAGCTGCCCATTGATGTGGGATTTCCCTCTGCACGCTGTGATTACCATTAAAGAATGAAGAACTGCTTTGGACCTAGAGCAGAGCAGGGCAGAGCAGAAATAGGTGGGGAGGACTGGACTGAACCCTGGGAGCAAGAAAGGGCGGAGTCAGAGAGAAGCCATGTAGCCCCCATCAGAGCCAGATAGAACTTTACCTAGTAAGCCACAGCCACCTGGCAATGATACCTTTAAAAAGAAATGGGAAAGTCGTGCTTGTTATAGAACATTTGGGAAACATTTAAAAGTGTAACTGAAAAGTGGCGATTAGACCACATTTTAGAGTGTCTTAGTCAAGACTTGTCTGTATACATAGCCAATCTTCGTTTTCTTGTATGGAGTGTTTCCTGTGTCATGAACTGCTCCTCAGCAGGGGGATGGGATGATATTTCCACTAGTCAGAGAAGAAGGACTGGTAGTGATCTGAACTGGAGATAAAAAACAGAAATAAATGAAGAAATATGAGAATTATTAAAGATAAAGTTGTCAGGACAAAGTGATGGATTTGATGCGCATTTTGAAATAACTTCCAAGCTGCATGCTTTATTTCCACAAATGTAAAGGTCTCACATAATTTTATCATAAATCTCACACAAAGAACACAAAGTGCAATATCTCCATCGGAGGTGCACGAGCGATTCTTGCAAAGTCAGCTTAGAAGTGCCCGTTCTGCGGCCAGTAGAGCCACCTAAAATATCAAAAGGGTAAGAGCTTGTCTATCACATTTTCTAATATCTTTAACATGAGAGTATGGACTGAGTCCATTCCATTCTGAATATCAGATAAAAACAATGGAATCTAAAATAATACAAAAGAGAAGATGCTGGCTCCTAACCAGAGACTTCTGTGGTACATTTCTGTCTTCACTGTGTAACACTGTAACTGTGTAACACTGAAGTCTATAAAAAAAAAAAATCCAAACTGCAGGAAAGTCATCTCCTTCTCCTCATAATGCTTCCATAATGTGCTACAGATTTGAAATGTGTTCTATTTTCAAAACTAACTGGCTGATTTATGAAGAAACACACATGTGTTTTTTTGCTTCACAAAAAGCACATTTGGATATTATTAAACTGAAAAGATAAAATATTGCGTAGTGCTGAAGAATTAATTTCAAAATGTTTCTTTAAGATAAACAGCGTATCAACTATATCTTAAATGTCATCACTTTGGATGACCAACTAAACAGATTTATAGGAACTCCTTTGCTAAAAAGGAGTTATTTTGGTCTATCTGTCATAAACTATTATGTCCAAAATCATGTGTGTTGCCTCCAACTACCCTGGTGTGAGAAATCTGCCCCAAGAAAGCCTGAGACCTCTGGAAATCTGTCCTTATCAGTGGAGCTGATAACAAGAGAAAGACTATACTCCACATCAAACATAATTCCTTAAAGAATTTCCTCATCTTAACATTGGCTCAAAAATGTTATATTAAAGGGGAGAAACAAAGCCCTAGCAATCATAACTAAGAAAGAAGGAGCTGTCGGCATCTTCCCCTTCAGTCTGTAATTCAGTGCTGGTGCACAAGCCACATGCTGGTATTATCGCCAATCTGCTTTCTTAGCTTTTCTTCACACATTCCAGCCCATCTTCACATACTCAGAGGGGGTTTTGATGAAATAAGAATTCTCCAACATCATGCCTCCTTGCTCCTTTATCCTCTGCTGACCAAGTCTGCAGCATTTGAAAATTAAATCATGAAAGTAAGAAGTGTTTGAGTCTCAGAAAGGTTTCCACACCTGGTGAGGACCCACCCAGCCCAACAAGCCATATGGCCCTAAAAATACTCCTGTTGATAGGCATTTCTTTGTAGGGTGGATGCTGCAACCCCAGAACCTTGAATGCAAACATTCTCAACTGTAATCCCTTAGAAGAAGGTGGCATTTGGCAACCTGGGGCACAGAGTTCTGTTCCCTCAGTTACTTAGTCTAGAAGAAAGTGAGACAAGATCTCCCCAGGACAGGAATAGAAGGGCAGTAAAGCCACACACCAGTAGTATTTCTCTCTATGTAAATATCAATAGAGGTCAAGCACCCATAATCCTGCTTAACTTCATTTCAGTAGTTACTGGATGCTACTTTGTACCAAGCACAAGGTTACTGTCAGAACAGAGCAACAAATAACAAAGAGAAAATCTCTCATCCAGTTTACATCCCACGCTTTAGAGGCCTTCTTCCACCAAAGAAACCTGGAACTAAGCAGGTATTTCTTTACCCACAGCATCAAGAGAGGCAGTGGTGCACCCTACACAGATAGATGCCTGAGAGAGAACTGAAGCTCCTGGTTCTAACCAATAACACAGGCAGCAGCTGTGCAAGTGTTGGGTTCTTTCTCCAACCCTATTATCTCCAGTCTTGGAAAGCAAAAGACTCTCTTTTTAAGAAAGTGTCTTACTATGTAGCAAGCTATCCTCAAACATCCTATGTAGACCAGGATGGCTTCAAACATTCTGTCCTTTTGCCTCTGCCTTTTCAGTGCTAAGACTGTAGGCAGGCCTCACCACACCATGCTCCTAGTCTTAATAAATGTAACAATGAGAAAGTCAGAAGATGAATAATTTAATCCCTTAAACTAAATGTAAATAATCACATTTCTTAGAACTAAGTGTAAGCATATGTACCTCATATCTATAAAGATAAACATATTTGCCTTATGCTTCACTAATCTGTTTCTTGAATCAGATTTGAAGAATTCCTTCTCACGAGTGTGGTGGTCTGAAAGAGAATGGCCCCCATAGGCTTCCATGTTCGAATGTTTGGTTCCCAGTGAGCAGAACTATTTGGAGATGATTAGGAGGTGTGGACTTGTAGGACAAGGTGTGTCACTGGAGTGGGCTTTGAGGTTTCAAACACCAAGTCATGCCCAGTGTGTCTTCCTTGGCCTGCAGCTTGAGGATCTGATGTGAGCTCTCAGCTCCTTTGCCAGCACTGTGTACCGGCTGCCGTGCTCCCTGCCGTGATGATCAATGATTAACCCCCTAAAACTTAAGCAAGACCCAATAAAATGTTTCCCTCTATAAGTTGCCTTGGTCACGGTGCCTGTTCGCGTCAATAAAACAGTAACTAAGACACTTAGCATCCTCCAGCTTTGTGTTTATGTCACGAGTGCTGACATTAGTTCGGCGGTGAGGAGAGGCCAGTGCAGCAGAGGCCAGTCACCCACCGTCTGTGAGGTGAGAGACCTTGATGACACTTTCAAGGCACTGGCCACCAGCACAGCCTTGCAGAAATCCATGCAGGATGTACATAGGAGTGACCTAAAGAAGACAATCTAATCAGAGGCGTGTGTGTGCATGTGTGTGTGCATGTGTGTGTGCACGTGTGTGTGTGTGCATGTGTGTGTGTGCATGTGTGTGGGCACGTGTGGAGGCCAGAGGTTAACCTCGGGTGTTTTCCCTCAGGAGCCATCCTCCTTGTACTTTGGAATAGGCTTGAATCTCAGCAGGTAGGCTGGCCGGCCAATGAGAAGCGGGGCTCCATCTGTCTCTGCCTCCTCGGCCCTGCAATCATTAGTGCCACCACACCCAGCTCTCCAGGAGGTGCTAGGGAGTGAAACTGCATCCTCATTCTTTACACAGAAAGCACTTTACCTGCTCCCCAGCTCCTCGTCTGAATTTGGGCCTCTGACGTTATGAAAGGTTTATGGTATAATTTATGGCTTTTCAACCACGTTTTAGCTTGTATGACTAAGTAAAGCTTGCTGGTTTATTATATAAAAAAAAACAAACTTAGCTCTGCAAAAACATATGCTCGCCATATATAATTGAACTTAATGGCTATCTAAAGCCTTCCTTCTGCCTTGGTCTGAAAACATAATCCCAATTTGGGAGCAGAACTGACAATTTAGTTGATTTTTTTTTTCACTTCTCAGAGTTGCTGTAGAGGGAGAAAGGCTCAAGTCCTATTAAGGAAGAGCTGTTCAGAGCGCCTGTAATTTCATGCATTTCAGATGCAAGTAGGAAAGGCTGGGGCATATACTTCAGTGGAAGAGCACTGGCCTATCTTGTGCAAACCTCTAGATTGAATCCTCAGCTAAACAGACAAAGAAGGAAACAATTACATATAAGCTGAACTCTCTTCTAACCGGCAGCAGGCTTTGGGATCCACTCTGTCTCCCTGGACCCTTCACTGTGGTCAACTCAGATGTCTGTCTTGAAGGCCCTATGGGATTGTTACATATAATCTACTGATCAGAACTGCTGACCCGAGAGATAATGGGGTGGCTCTGAGGGTAAAGATGCCCCTGCCAAGCCTGACAACCTCAGTTCCACGTGGTGGAATGAGAAAACTGACTCCTGCAAGTGGTCCTCTCCCTTCAGACACTGTGGTAATTCATGTCCTCCTCCCCATAATACAATAAACAAATTAAAATGTAATTTTTAAAAAAAAATGTATTATTCCCATGGTGGTATATGTATGTCTTTTTCTGTCCTGTCAGCCAGCTCCCAAATAATGACATGGAGCTTACTATCAGTTATGTAAGCCTAGCCTTAGCTTAGGCTTGTCCCACTAGCTCTTATAACTTAAATTAACCCATTTATGTTCATCTACATTTTGCCTCATGTCTTTTTACATTATCTCTGTACTGCCCATCCTGCTTTCTCAGTGCATCTAGCTTCCCCTGAACGCTTGGATTCCTCCTCCTCTTTCTCTCTTCACCCGCCTATACCACCTGTCTAGCTAATGGCCGTTTAGCTCGTTATTAAACCAATTGCAGCAATATACCTTCACATAGTGTACAGATATCCCACAACAGATGCATGTAGCCACAGCTTACTTGGCAAACTACAGCAGAAGGAATAGTAAGGTTGAGGCTAGCCTGGGCAGAAACTGAGCAAGTTCTTACTTCAAAATAAAAAAGTTTTAAAGGGTTTGGGGTGATCTCAGTAGAATGATGCTTACCTAACATAATCAAGATCCTGGCTTGATCCCAGTATTTCAACCAACCAATCAAAATCATTCCCTACAAGACACATCACAAACTCACCATGGTGGAGTCCCCCCAAATCTGCCAGAGAAGGACTACAGTGTTCAGCTACTCCAGAGAGACCTCAAGACCAAACTGAGGACATTTTGACAAGAAGGCTCTGTTTTGGCCTTGTGTGTCTCTTTCTTCACAAGACTCTTCATGTGTTGTGGCCTTGTTTCTTGCCTTCTCCTGACTCCTGTGAGAGTGTGAAGACCCGGTTGCTTTCTCCTTCCCCTCATGGCCCACCTCACCACCTGTTCTATCACCTGGCGTCCTTGGACCACACAGGCAAAGTGAGATGACTGGAGGATACCCACCAGAGGGAACTTCTGGGAGTCTTCATTAGCCAGCTGGCAACTCTCCTGGGCTGGGATCCTAATGTAGCCCTGAGCCTTTCTCAGGGTGAACTTTTAAGCACAAAAAAACCCACATCCTGGGTTGACATCCTTCAGTTAACAAGAACAGTTAGCCAGAGCAGAACTACAGAAGCCAAAAAACAAGGTCAGTACATTCAGGGACTTTCCTAGAATTCTGATTTTGATGGATTAGGTCTTTGTTTTCACGTTGGCAGGTGGTACTGTCCCTGTGTGGTATTGTACGGCCCGAATGGTACTTCTCTCATTGAGTCAGCTGTGCTAAGGTCTGAGGGCCTGCTACAACAATGACCCTCTAATCTCAGATTCCTCAAATCAGTTCTTTAAATTGTAATGCAAGAGGTCCTAACATTCCTCTGTTCATTCTTGGAACTCTGGGAGCAGAGGGTGTAGAGGCCAGACCCTGTCTTCGCCCCGGACTCCTGTTCTCAGTGGACAGATCTTTTCTTTCTCTTCTCTTCTCATCCTTTCTCTTGCCTTTTCTATTTTCTGAGACAGGATCTCACGTATTCCAGGCTGTCCTTGCACTAGATATATAGCCAACAATGACTCTGGCCCTTCTGCCTCCACCACCCGAGTCCTGGAATTATATTCACATGCCACCACCCCCAGGTTATGTGGTGCCAGGACCCTGTGCGTGTCCGACAAGCATCCTATCAAATATACTGCAACCCCAGACTGGAGATTTTAGTCTAGAGCAGTGACAGGCAGAGAGGCCCTGGGGCCTTCAGAACATTCTCTGGACATTTGCAATGGCCTTCCTGATGGCACAGAGAAAAGGCTGACTGGGGGAGTGAAGAAGCTTAGCTGCTAAGTCTGTCCCATGGACACGATCGCTATCCCCGTAAAAGTCCATCTCTGTCTCATCAGCGTCTGTTACGGGGTCAATGGCTTTGGAGGTTCTTGAGGTTAGTCCCCTATTGCTCACAGTTGGCTTTGTAAGAAATAAAACCTGATGCTCATTCTCAAAATAAAGTGTCTTGAGTCAGCTTTGGTCTAATTACAGATACACAAAAATCAACCCCCATTAAACTCTGCTAGTCTAGTAGCCCCCCCCCCCCCCCCGCCAAAAGTAGGCGTTTAGGGTAAGACGTTATCACAGCCAACTACCCCGAAGATACAACACGATCATGAGCCTGATAATCTTTGAAACAGATGTGAGACAGAGATGAACCCATTGTGCTGGCTGCTGTCCTGTCAATGTGACCCAAGCTCCAGTCGTTTGGGAAGAGAAACCTCAACGGAGAAGATGCCCCAGCAGACTGGCCGGCGGACAAGCCTGGGACGCATTTTCTTGATTAGTGACTGACGTGGGAGGACCTAGCCCGTCGTGGGCAGTGCCGCCCCTGAACTGGTGACCCTGGTATAAGAAAGCCAGATGAGTGGACTATGAGGAGCAAGGCAGGAGGGACATTCTTCCACAGGTTCTGCTGAAGTTCCTGCCTTGAGTTCCCTTCTGGACTTCCCTCAGTGACGGAGTGTGAGCCGTGAGTTAATGGTTGAAATAAATCCCCTCAAGCTGCTTCTGGTCAGGGTGTTTTATCACAGCAATAGAAATCCTAACCATGATACCCAGGCACAGTATTTGTCAAGAAGGAGACGTGTGAGACTCCGCAATGGTTACTCAGTCAATGAGGAAATCAAGGAAGGGACCTGTGTTAGGGTTTGAAAACTGTCCTCTGCCCTCAATGAGCAGGCCTGTCATTCTGAGATGGCACCTGGCTTTGTAAAGTCACAGAAGCACCTGCCTTGCTCTCACTACTCTCAGTCCCTAGTGATCTTATTAGGAAGTGAGAGTTCTCTTATTAGAAGGTGTTAGTCTGTGTTTCCCATTATGCGTTCTCAGGTTGGCTTCTATTGTGTGATGCTATTTCTGGGGCTCTACGAACAAATGTTCACTTACCCCAGGGAATCAATTACAGATGAAAAGGTGGATACCACTAAAGTCCTGTTCTGATGAACCACGAAGTGTTACTGGGTCTTCTTACAGGAATATGGGTGAAGGGTTACTTACAGGACTGAAGACAACCATATCACCAAAATCCCACCCCAGCGTGGGTGACAGCCCACTACAGCTGGAAACTCGGAGCACAGTACCCAGTCACAGGTAGCTCAACAGATTAAAGGGTGTCCTTTCCCGGTAGCAGTTCAGTTGGTTTGGGCCTTTTCCAGGCAGCTCAGCTCTGGGCTTTCTCAGCAGTCCTTACTGCTTATATCCGCTTGGAGAGGGAGGAGCCTAGTCTATCTGGCCGGTTTCAGGGACTTCCTGAAACTACTGAGTTGTTTACTTCCTGAGCTTAATGAAATACCCTGCAGCATGGACCATTCTACCTCCCAGTAAACATCCTGTTGTGTTTTCTGAGCTTCCCTCCAACATGGAAATGATGCATGGTAGCTTTACGTTATTTTTCTAAAGTCTTTGGAACAGACAGTAGTGTGTCTGTTCATACACATACACAGCCCAGTGATTCTCTTGTTTCTGCTCGCCCAGTAGTGGGATTGATTATAGATGTCCAACATGCCTGTCTTTTTAAAATTTTTATTTATGTGTATGTGTATTTTGCCTGTGTGTATGTCTGTGCACCGTGTGCATACCTGGTACCTGAGATGGGCAGAAGAGATTATCAGATCCAGTAAAATGTTAATCATTATGTGGGCTCTGGGAGCCGAATGTGGGTCCTCTGTAAGAGCAACAGGTACTCCGTCACTGAGCCTTCTCTCTAGGCCCTGGGCTTCAAATGTTTGTCCTAATTACATTTATTTGTGCATCTATTTATTTAGGGATTATGTTGTGTGCTTTTATGTCACTGCATTAGTATGAAAGTCAGATGATGGCTCTCAGGAGTCACTTCTCTCCTTATGCTGTGTGGGTCTTAGGAACCAGACTCAGATGGGCAGGTTTGTGCTAAGCACCTTGCCTGGGAGCCATCTTGCTGGTTGGCATCTTTCTTTCTTTCTTTCTTTCTTTCTTTCTTTCTTTCTTTCTTTTCTTCCTTCCTCCCTCCCTTCCTCCCTCCCCCTCCCTCCCTCCCTCCCCTTCTTTCCTCCTTCCTTTCTTTCTTCCTTCCTTCCTTCCATCCTTCCTTCCTCCCCATCCCTCCTCCCCCTTCTTTCCTCCTTCCTTCCTTCCTTCCTTCCTTTCTTCCTTCCTGTAATAAGGAACCATAACTCAGGTCCTCCTGCTTGCTCAGAAGTATTTTCACTAACTGGCCTCTCTCCCCAACCCCAGACAGCATTCTTTGCTCTGTATCCCTGGCTGGCTTAGACCTCTCTGTAGCCCAAGATGGCCTTTAACCAGCAATTCTCCTGGTTCTGCCTCCCAAGTGCAGGGATTACGGGCATACCCCAATCCATTCCAATTAATTCTTAAGGAATCTGGCAATTTGTACACCTTTGTTCCCTACCAGGAAGCCTCCAGCTAGATAGTGATTTTGTGCTTTTTTGGCCAGCTTAGAGTGTCATGTCTCCACACAGGACCAGAGAGAGAGACTCAGATCCATTCTTTTGACCACTAATTGAAGTCCTGCAGGTTCAAAACTGGTTTTACAAGTTGCTGAAGGAGGGATAGCCCCAGTGACCTGCCTAATGCTGTTGGCTGGCAACAGGCCCAGACTGGGCCACTCACAAGCTTTACCCTGTGATGCCTTGGATCTTGAAACAGGGGAAAGTGAGTCTTTGCTAGTGCCAGAACTGAAAAGCACAGGGTGTCTTTCAGTGGACGCTTTCCCTCCCTGAACCAGCAAAGACTGAGGAAACGAAGACAAACCGAGAAAGCCTGAAGACGAAGAAGGAGGGGGCAGCATTTGCATGTGTTTCCAGTAACTGCTGGGGCGCTGCTGTTTCTCATTGAGTTCCTGGTTAGGAGAAGATCATATCGGTGACTCCCCGCTTCGGGAAAGGCGTAATTGAGTTGGGTTTTTGTCTCTTGAAGTCAAAGAGGTAGAGGGAAATGTAATTCCTGGCTTCACTGTAGAAAGGAAGAACAGTTTTGAAACTGTCTGA